TGTCACCTCTAAAACTGCCACAAACATTAACTAATGTCACCTCTAAAACTGCCACAAACATCAACTAATGTCACCTCTAAAACTGCCACAAACATTAACTAATGTCACGTTTAAAACTGCCACAAACATTAACTAATATCACCTCTAAAACTGCCACAAACATCAACTAATGACACTTCTAAAACTACCACAAACATCAACTAATGTCACCTCTAAAACTGCCACAAACATCAACTAATGTCACCTTTAAAACTGCCACAAACATCAGCTAATGTCACCTCTAAAACTGCCACAAACATCAACTAATGACACCTCTAAAACTGCCACAAACATTAACTAATGTCACCCTTAAAACTGCCACAAACATCAACTAATGTCACCTCTAAAACTACCACAAACATTAACTTATGTCACATTAAAAACTGATACAAACATCAACTAATATCATCTAAAAAACTGCCACAAACATCAACTAATGTCACCTCTAAAACTACCACAAACATTAACTAATGTCACCTCTAAAACTACCACAAACATTAACTAATGTTATATTAAAAACTGATACAAACATCAACTAATATCATCTAAAAAACTGCCACAAACATCAACTAATGTCACCTCTAAAACTACCACAAACATTAACTAATGTTACATTAAAAACTGATACAAACAACTAATATCATCTAAAAAACTGCCACAAACAACAACTAATGCCACCTCTAAAACTGCCACAAACATTAACTAATGTCACCTTTAAAACTCTTCTGTGTCGAAGTGTCTAGCTGGTTGACCTGAGCTGCATTCTTAATGAGTTCTTGAATCACAAGTCGATCGTAGACACCGACATCGCTGAAATAGCAAATGTCAATGTATCACAATGTCTTGGCCAAAATTTTCTACAACAGCACATAACACTTTTGATTTCATTGCTAAAGAAACATCACATAAAACTTTAGATTACATTACTGAAGAAACTTCACATTTAGATGACATTATTGAAGAAACTTCACATAAGATGACATTACTGAAGAAACATCACATGAGATGACATTACTGGAGAAATATCACAGAACCTTAGATGACATTTTTGCAGAAATTTACATAAAACTTTAGATGATATTACTGAAGATACATCACATAACATTTAAAATGACATTACTGAAGAAACATCACACTTTAGATGACATTACTGGAGAAACATCACACTTTAGATGACATTACTGGAGAAACATCACACTTTAGATGACATTACTGAAGAAACATCACATAAGTAGATGGCATTACTGAAAAAACAGAACATACCACTTTACACAAGCCCACACAATGATACAAAATTAACTAGCCCACCTGTGCACAAGCTCACACAATGACTACAAACCTCACCAGCACCCAGGTACCCAAGCTCACACAATGACTACAAACCTCACCAGCCCCATGTACACAAGCTCACACAATGACTACAAACCTCACCATTCCTATGTATACAAGCTCACACAATGACTATAAACCTCACCAGTCCCCCTGTACACAAGCTCACACAATGACTACAAACCTCACCAGCCTCCAGGTACACAAGCTCACATAATGACTACAAACCTCACCAGCCCCCAGGTACACAAGCTCACACGATGACTACAAACCTCGCCAGCCCCATGTACACAAGCTCACACAATGACTACAAACCTCACCAGCACCCAGGTACCCAAGCTCACACAATGACTACAAACCTCACCAGCCCCCAAGCTCACACAATGACTACAAACCTCACCAGCCCCATGTACACAAGCTCACACAATGACTACAAACCTCACCAGCCCCATGTACACAAGCTCACACAATGACTACAAACCTCACCAGCCCCATGTACACAAGCTCACACAATGACTATAAACCTCACCAGCCCCCCTGTACACAAGCTCACACAATGACTACAAACCTCACCAGCCCCATGTACACAAGCTCACACAATGACTACAAACCTCACCAGCCCCATGTACACAAGCTCACACAATGACTACAAACCTCACCAGCCCCATGTACACAAGCTCACACAATGACTATAAACCTCACCAGCCTCCCTGTACACAAGCTCACACAATGACTACAAACCTCACCAGCCCCCATGTACACAAGCTGACACAATGACTACAAACCTCACCAGCACCCAGGTACACAAGCTCACACAATGACTACAAACCTCACCAGTCCCCCCTGTACACAAGCTCACACAATGACTACAAACCTCACCAGCCCCATGTACACAAGCTTACACAATGACTATAAACCTCACCAGCCCCCAGGTACACAAGCTCACACTGACTACAAACCTCACCAGCTCCCCTGTACACAAGCTCACACAATGACTATAAACCTCACTAGCCCTCAGGTACACAAGCTCACACAATGACTACAAACCTCACCAGTCCCCCTGTACACAAGCTCACACAATGACTACAAACCTCACTAGCCCTCAGGTACACAAGCTCACACAATGACTATAAACCTCACCAGCCCCCAGGTACACAAGCTCACACTGACTACAAACCTCACCAGCTCCCCTGTACACAAGCTCACACAATGACTATAAACCTCACTAGCCCTCAGGTACACAAGCTCACACAATGACTACAAACCTCACCAGTCCCCCTGTACACAAGCTCACACAATGACTACAAACCTCACTAGCCCTCAGGTACACAAGCTCACACAATGACTATAAACCTCACCAGCCCCCAGGTACACAAGCTCACACTGACTACAAACCTCACCAGCACCATGTACACAAGCTCATACAATGACTATAAACCTCACCAACCCCCAGGTACCCAAGCTCACACAATGACTACAAACCTCACCAGCACCCAGGTACACAAGCTCACACAATGACTACAAACCTCACCAGTCCCCCTGTACACAAGCTCACACAATGACTACAAACCTCCCCAGCCCCATGTACACAAGCTCACACAATGACTACAAACCTCACCAGTCCCCCTGTACACAAGCTCACACAAGACTACAAACCTCACCAGCCTGCATGTACACAAGCTCACACAATGACTACAAACCTCACCAGCCCCATGTACACAAGCTCACACAATGACTATAAACCTCACTAGCCCCCAGGTACACAAGCTCACACAATGACTATAAACCTCACCAGCCCCCAGGTACACAAGCTCACACAATGACTAAAAACCTCACCAGCCCCCCATGTACACAAGCCTATAGGACATATTTTAAAACACCAGCTGAAAGTCATCATCATCACCATGCAGTCTACATCATCAGGAATATGTGAACCATCCGGCTTACATTAAAACACCTGGATTGTGGTCAGGTGTGCTTAATGTTTGATGCGAAAAGTCCTACTTTAGACTGAAGCTTTAGATTACTTGATTCAGAAAGCCTAGTTTAGGCTGACTTAAGTCTGATGTCAGAAAGCCTACCTTGGATTCACTTCAATGTGATAGTTGCTCGATGTAGTAGAAATCTCTAGCTTTTTGTTGGAAGGGGTTGTGAACTGGCATTGTTCTATACGGAGCTTTTCCACACCTGCCCCATAGAGCTGTCTCAACGTACACATGATACGTGTTTTCTTGCCTGCACCAGACGGCCCGTACACCAGAAGATGAGGGAAGTCTCCTCCCTCTACCTGTCCATCCAACAAAAACATGTTTTCATTCACCTGTCCACACAAGACAATCATACATAAATTTGACACAAATGAAAGAACAAGAATGGTAAACAGTAACACAAAAACAAGAACTGGCCAGCAAAGAAACAATGTTCAGCCTTCCTTCATCTCAATATTATCTTATCTGTCCGTGTTCAAGACGTTCCCTTGTATAGGACGGACACCAAAAATTGGGAGAAATTCTCCAGAAAGTACTCAAATTTAATTCTTGCAACCATTTCAATAGATAAGTTTTTAATCAATGGATAAGTTTTTAATTCCTGCCATTCAGCACCTTTTTCATGTTATGTTAACTCCCCCCCCCCCCCCCCCCCCCCCCCTACAAAACTCCCTGCTGAGATTGGCCAAAGCCCTATGGTTTTCTCCATCGGCGAAGATCCAGAATGACATTCTGCTGGCCTACTGTCATGTTCTTCAGCAAATTTTATCACCCACGGTTTAAAACTGCCAATGTAGGAAGGCCGCTTATTAGCTTTTTTCATATCACGGTCAACTGTGACAAAATAGATTTGTTGTAGCCTAATTTTAAGACGTATTTTGAAAACCCAAAAAAGTGCATCTCATACATAATTTGGATTGGAGGCCACTGGTTCGAACCCGGTTAATTCTTAGGGACAACTGGATGGCCAATGAGTGAGTGGCAGTCTGGCCGGTTGGGGTAGGGTTAGCGAGCCATCTCTGGGCCTGCCAACTACTTGTAAATTAAAGGCTCATGTGTATGTTCTGACAGTGTTGGTTTAGGTGTGTTTAATGACAGACATTTCTGTCAAGGAGCTGCCTGACAGCAGTACGTACGTCTCTGATAGAAAGTCTACTGTTATTAGCAAGTCGCAAGTTTTAGCTTCAGACAATAGTTGGCCATAGCATTTTCCTCCACTACTGACCATTTTAACCACCGAGTGCTGATGTCTGTAAAAATATCGGCGCTCTTCCCATATGCCCGATACGCCTAAAGGCGTGGAAAGGGATCTTTACTTTACTTGTTACTTATACCTATGTACCAATCCTAACCTATGGGTGTGAGACACAGGCAATGACAAAAGCTCATAAAAACTAGTCTCAGGCTTAGGAATTGAGATATCTGAGAAAGGTGGTCCAAGTGACAAAAAGGGACAAAGTTTGCAATCAGACAATATGTCAAGACCTTAAAACCCAGGCCTTACAAACTTGAGTAGATCAGTCACAGTTACGATAGTCTGGACAGAATGGGAGAAAATCTACACCATGGGAGGCTAAGAACCAGAGCTTCAGGGTGACCCAAGGTCTGATGGGAAGACAACTTCTGACAGAGGACTGGAATGGGACAAAGTCAGAAATAAAACAGCTGATAGAGAAGTCTGGTGATCTCTCTGGCAAACCTCTGCAGCAACTAAGTAAGTGAACATTTTTCTCTATGTGTAGATTGAAAGGATTCAGTTCCATTTCCCAGCCACTGATCTGAGTACATGGCATGACACTGTAAGAAGTGGTGCATTATATGATTAACTGCGTATGCAACTAATGATTTGTTGTAACTACTGCTTCTATTTACAATGAACTGCTTTGTAAAGTCAGACTGTTTATGCTGGCACTTCTGACGGCTGCCCTGTGCATTGAATGTATGATATTAGATTTGCAGAGACTGCGGTCTACATCAGTTGTTTTTCACAAGGGAAACTGATGGACATTCTGTGTGGTTTACGTTGGTACATGAACAAAGCAACTATGGCGGGGTGGGGGTTGTTTGCTGTGATACTGGAACTGTGAATACTTTATGTCTATACCAGGTGACTACTAGCATGTAGGAGATGTCTCCCAAGACAGCCCCTCAAACAAGACAAAGAAAAACCAGAGAGTTACCAGTTGTTTAAGGTGAGATGCTTGTTGTTTGTGATAATCCAGCTTGTCGAGGCAGGTCGGCCGATACTTGTCTACCCACAGACTCATGATGACCACAGATCTATTAGTTCTCTCACAACAGCTAGTGTCGCTGCTTGATCAAGTCCACTCTGGAGGAAGAAATGTTGACCAAATTACTGTGCATTCAACAAGGAAACTAGCAGTGCTCACAGGCAAGTCAGAACCCACAGGTGTCAAAGACAAGATGAAACAACTCTATATGATCCCTCGCAGCTGACATCGGCTGCCACCTAACGCTGTACAGTACGCAAGGCATAACACATAACATAAGGGATATATAGAACATAACATAATGGCTAAGAACCCAAGGACATAATAAACATAACACACAACATATAGTAAATAAGATTACATGCATGATGGAATGACCTTTATCACTCTGCCTCTGCTTCTTCCTTTCTCTCTCTGTCTGCCTCTACGTTTCTCTCAGTGGGTGCTGGTGTGTGTATGTATGTATGTATGTATGTATGTATGTATGTATGTATGTATGTATGTATGTATGTATGTATGAGGGTGTGTGTATGTATGTATGAGGGTGTGTATGTATGTATGTATGTATGAGGGTGTGTATGTATGTATGTATGTATGAGGGTGTGTATGTATGTATGTATGAGGGTGTGTATGTATGTATGTATGTATGAGGGTGTGTATGTATGTATGTATGTATGTATGTATGTATGTATGAGGGTGTGTATGTATGTATGTATGTATGTATGTATGAGGGTGTGTATGTATGTATGTATGTATGTATGTATGTATGTATGAGGGTGTGTATGTATGTATGTATGAGGGTGTGTGTGTATGTATGTATGTATGTATGTATGAGGGTGTGTGTGTATGTATGTATGTATGAGGGTGTGTATGTATGTATGTATGTATGTATGAGGGTGTGTATGTATGTATGTATGTATGTGGGTGTGTATGTATGTATGTATATATGTATGTATGTATGTGTGTATGTATGTATGTATGTGGGTATGTATGTATGTGGGTATGTATGTATGTATGTATGGATGTGTGTGTATGTATGAATGCAGGTGTAAGTGAGTGAATGAGTGTGCGCGCAAGTGTATCCATGCATTTTACAACCCACGATTTTTGGGTTTTTTCTTAGTATTCATAATATGCCCAATATTATATGTTCATAACATGCTTTATTGGTAATATACAATTGCTGTGTGAAAGGTGGGTGTTTCGAATGGCCGAATGCAAGATGGTCCTGTGTGCCCAAATTGTAACCTTTCAAAAAAAAAACTTTGTTCCTTGTCTGCCCCTCTCTCTCACTGTCTGCCTCTGACTTTTTCTCCATCTGCCTCTCACTTTCTCTCCCTCTGTGAGCCTCTCCCTGTCAGCTTCTCCCTTTCTCTCTGCCTCTACCTTCCCCCACCCCTCTGTCAGCCTCTCCCTTTCTCTCTCTCTGTCAGCCTCTCCCTTTCTCTCCCACTGTCTGTTTCTCCACCTCTCTCTCTCTCTGTCGGCCTCTCCATTTTCCTGTTTACCTCACCATTTCCCTGTCTACCTCACCCCCTCTAGCTGTCAGTCTCTACCTTTTTCTCTGTCTGCACTCTCCCTTTCTCTTTTTGTCAGACTCTCCCTTTCTCTCTCTCTGTATGCCTCTCCCTTTATTTCTGTCAACCTCTCCCTTTATCTTCCAGTCTGCCTCTTCCTTTCTTTGTCAGCCTTTCCTCGTCTCTCTCTGTGAGCCTCCCTTTCTCTCTTAACCAGCCTCTCCATTTTTGTCTGCCTCACCATTTCTCTCTGTCTACCTCTCCCCTCTCTCTTTGTCAGCCCTTCTATCTAGCTGCCTCTCTTTTTCCCTTTCTCTTTCTGCCAGCTTCATTTCTCTGTCAGCCTCTCCATTATTATTTACTTCACCTAGTCAGACTGAATCTCATATCGTACACACAATGTCAGAATCTGATATCAGTACACACAATGACTGAATCATATATCAGTACACGCAATGTCTGAATCTGATTTCAGTACACACAATGACTGAATCATATATCAGTACACGCAATGACTGAATCATATATCAGTACACGCAATGACTGAATCATATATATCAGTACACACAATGTCTGAATCATATATCAGTACATGCAATGACTGAATCATATGTCAGTACACGTAATGACTGAATCATATATCAGTACACACAATGTCTGAATCATATATCAGTACACACAATGTCTGAATCATATGTCAGTACACACAATGTCTGAATCTTATATCAGTACACACAATGTCTGAATCATATATCAGTACACGCAATGACTGAATCATATATCAGTACACACAATGACTGAATCATATATCAGTACACGCAATGTCTGAATCATATCAGTACACACAATGACTGAATCTTATATCAGTACACGCAATGACTGAATCTTATATTAGTACAGTGTGTAATGAGGTGATTTCCCAACGGGTCCCCAGAAGGGTACATAGGGTCAATGGTCAATCAAGCAAAAAGGAAGTGAGAAATAAAATGCTCGCAAAATCATGGGTTTAACTGAGTAGTGAAAGAATGATAGCGGAGAGAAACCAGAGAGAGTCTTGAAGGGTGAAACCAAGATCAAATTAGTTGGTGTGTAGCATCCAGGTTGAATGGTTGAGTTTTGAGAGGAGAGTGAATGCTAGCAAGTGTAACTGGTAACAAGGGAAGAAGGTTTTGATTCTATGAGATGACAGCTTGACCAGAAGCTTTTCAAATTGATACCCAGCCAACTGTGAAGATTGTCAGGGATGCCCACTCTGCGACTGTGTGAAGATTGGTAGAAGATTGTCAAGGATGCCCACTCTGTGACTGTGTGAAGATTGGTAGAAGATTGTCAGGGATGCCCACTCTGTGACTGTGTGAAGATTGTCAGGGATGCCCATTCTGTGACTGTGTGAAGATTGGTAGAAGATTGTCAGGGATGCCCACTCTGTGACTGTGAAGATTGGTAGAAGATTATCAGGGATGCCCACTCTGTGACTGTGAAGATTGGTAGAAGATTGTCAAGGATGCCCACTCTGCGATTGTGTGAAGATTGGTAGAAGATTGTCAGGGATGCCGATTCTGTGACTGTGTGAAGATTTGTAGAAGATTGTCAGGGATGCCCACTCTGCGACTGTGTGAAGATTGGTAGAAGATTGTCAGGGATGCCCATTCTGTGACTGTGTGAAGATTGGTAGAAGATTGTCAGGGATGCCCACTCTGTGACTGTGTGAAGATTTGTAGAAGATTGTCAGGGATTCCCACTCTGCGACTGTGTGAAGATTGGTAGAAGATTGTCAGGGATGCCCATTCTGTGACTGTGTGAAGATTGGTAGAAGATTGTCAGGGATGCCCACTCGGCGACTGTGTGAAGATTTGTAGAAGATTGTCAGGGATGCCCACTCTGCGACTGTGTGAAGATTTGTAGAAGATTGTCAGGGATGCCCACTCTGCGACTGTGTGAAGATTTGTAGAAGATTGTCAGGGATGCCCATTCTGTGACTGTGTGAAGATTGGTAGAAGATTGTCAGGGATGCCCACTCGGCGACTGTGTGAAGATTTGTAGAAGATTGTCAGGGATGCCCACTCTGCGGCTGTGTGTAGATTGGTAGAAGATTGTCAGGGATGCCCACTCTGCGACTGTGTGAAGATTGTCAGGGATGCCGATTCTATGACTGTGTGAAGATTTGTAGAAGATTGTCAGGGATGCCCACTCTGCGACTGTGTGAAGATTGGTAGAAGATTGTCAGGGATGCCCATTCTGTGACTGTGTGAAGATTTGTAGAAGATTGTCAGGGATGCCCACTCTGTCACTGTGTGAAGATTGGTAGAAGATTGTCAGGGATGTACGCTCTGCGACTGTGAAGATTGGTAAAAGATTTTCAGGGATGCCCACTCTGCGACTGTGTGTTTTGTGAAGGATACACCAAGGCTGCAAGGTAATGAGTGCTGACGATTGTGAACATCTTAAACATGCATTGTAATTTTCATTTGTTGATCTCAGACCATGCAAGAGGTCATAAGACAATGACTGGACAAGGTTATCTTTAGAACCATAACAAACTAAATGAACTGTAAATGTGTTTCCTCATTACCATCTGTGTATACATTCATCATTAACATGAGAAACATCACCTCGATCTAATTCTCATTCAGCACACAGAGGAAGCAACACTGCAAGTGTGGGATCTCAATCAACGGAGATTTGGGAAAAGAGAACTAAAACGTTGATGTGTTGGTCCAACAGACTGAACTCTAAATAAGCGATAGGTAGTGGCTTGTCAACTGCGAGGCGGTGTCCAGTGAAGGTGGTGTCCAGTGAAAGTGGTAAAAAAAGGAAAAAATAGTCAATTTATCATTACACATAAGTGACGGAGGGCAGTGAACAATCCGAATCCAGTGGCTGACAGTTATTCAGCTGACTTGTCCAGTCAGAATCACCAGAGATGGTGCAGACTCAAGTGTTGCCAGTGCACCGCAAGTGTTGCCAAGACACCACAAGTGTTGCCAGTGCATAGCAAGTGTTGTGAGTACATCGCAAGTGTTGCGAGTACATCGCAAGTGTTGCCAGGACACTGTAAATGGGGCACAGATGAATAGAAATTCGAGGAACGAACAGCTAGAAAGATTGAAACAAACACCTCAAGTATTAATATTATTTCACAAGTCCACAGATTTAACACCGAGGTGACGCACGCTACACAGCAAGCACAAACGACCTAAATGAACAACTAGGCCAGCACAGTTAGAAATCGCAGCGGGGTCGACAAATGAATATTCAGAGGCAGGAATAAAAGAAAGAACATTTGACGTGCTGCATGCAACTGACAAAGAGAATGAATCAATGTTTGATTACATCCGTGTGAATGAGGTGGTGCAGTATCAATATTGAAAATTCTATAATTTTGACAGCCATATATACATTCTACAACGTGTGATATTTCCAAGGACGGGTACAATTTCCGTGTGAATAAATGTGAAAATAGCGATAAACAGTCAACCACATGTACTATCGAAGAACATTGTCATAGTAGTATATACA